AAAAGAACCTTGATCTAAGCCTCACACCTAATATAAAATTAACTCAAAATGGATCATGCACTGAAATGTAAATGTAAAACTCTAACACTTCTGGAAAAAACAGAGAAAGTCTTCAAGATCTAGGACTAGGCAAGGAGTTCTTAGTCTTGATGGCAAAAGCGCAGTTCATAAAAGGAAAAGTTGATAAACCAGACTTCATCAAAATCCTATTTAGAGGATGAAAAGACAAGCTGCAGGGTGGGAACAAATATTTTCAAACCACATGTCTGACAATAGACCTGGTATCTACAATATATAAAGAATTCACAAGACTCAACAATTAAAAACCAAATATTCCAATTAGGAAATGGGCAAAAGATAAGAAGAGACATGTCAGCAAGGAGGAGAAACAGATAGCAAATAAGCAGTAAACACATGAAATTGTATTCAGCATCACTAGCCATTGGGGGAATGTAGATTAAAACCACAATGAGATTTTACCACAAGCTTACCAAAATGACTGAAATTAAAAAACTAGTTGACACCACCAAATGCTGCTGTGGATGCAGAGAAAGTGTATCACATATATTGCTAGTGGGAATGTAAAATGGTACAGTCACTCTGGAAAACAATGTGGGAATTTCTTAAAAAAAAATGCAACTTCCAAATGTCCCAGCAATTGCACTAGTAGGCATTTATCCCAGAGAGATGAAGATTAATTTTGGCACAAAAACCTGTCATGTGAATGTAACAGTTTTATTCATAATGGCCCTAAGCTGAAAACAACCCAGATAACCTTCCATGGATGAATGGTTAAACAAACTATGGTACAGCTATGAGTATCACAGAATACTACTCAACAATAATAAGGAACAGACTTTTGATACAATAGCCTGGATGAGTTTCCAGGGAATTAGGCTGAGTGAAAAAGCCAATCTTAAAAGATTATATACAATATTGTTCCATTTATACAACATTTATAAATGAAAAAATATAGAAAGAAGAGATGAATGGTTGTCAGGGGTTAAGGAGCAAGTGGATGTGGTTATAAAAGGGCGACAGGAAGGATCTTTGTTGTGATGGAAATGTTCTTTTTTGACTACATCAATATCAGTATCCTTGTTGTGACATTCTTATCACAAGATACAAATGTTACCATTGGAGGAAACTGGGTAAAGGGCACACATCATCACCCTGTGTTATTTCTTAAAACTGCATGTGAATCTACAATTATTTCTAAATTAAAATTTTAAACATAAAGTTGAAAAATAGTCAATTAGAAATTTTTCCATATAAATATGAAAAAATATCGATAGCTTTTGGTTTTGTGGGAAGTGAAAGAGACCGAAAGGAGGCTGATGCTCCACCTTTAGCTTTAGAATGACTAAGATTGATTCAAAAATTCAAAATAGATTCTAAACTTATACAATTCAAACAGAGAAAAAAGTTACTCTTAGAAAGAAGTGCATGGTGTTATTACTATGTTCTTTCCTTCACTTTGCTATAGCTCTGGGGGCCTTCTTTCCTGCTACTTGTCCTGTGCAGGCCAAACTCTTTCCCATTTTAGACCTTTTACTTGCTGGTTCCTTTCTTCTTGGGACAGTGTTTAGCTAAGTCTGTGGAAGGCAGAATAATGTCCCCTCAAATTTACATGCCCTAATCTCTAGCACCTATGAATTTGCTACACATTATGTAGCAAAAGAGACTTTCAAATGTGATTAAAGTTATGGGCCTACAATGGGAGATTATCCTTTATTATCTGGGTGGGCCCAGTGTGATCACATGAGCCCCTAAAAGCAGAGAACTTTCCCTAATTGTAAACAGGAAAGATGTTGCAAAAGTAGAGGTCAGAGAGATTTGAAGCACGAGAAGGACTTGACCCACTATTACTAACTTTAATATCAAGAGGGCCACTGGCCAGGGGATGTTGTCAGCATCTAGAAGCTGAGAACAACCTCCAGGTGACAGTAGGTAAGAGAATGGAGACCTTGACTCTAAAATCACAAGGGATTGAATTCGACCAACAACTTGAATGAGGTTGGAAATAGATTCTCTACAAGAGCCTCAAGATAAGTAAGACTCAGGCTGGCTGACGCTTAGGTTTGTTTCCACATTGTGAAACCAGAGCAGTGAGGGTGGTGATTGATGGCAGTAAGTTGAGTTCTGTTGCCTCTTGTTAAGTCATGGAGGAAGTATCTAACTTTCTTTAGAATTTAGGATACTTAGCCATTCTTGATGGTCAGCTGTGAGCCCTAGTTGTCAATGCTGTGGCAAAGGAAAAATCACTTTTTATCACTGTGGCTATTGTAGTAGTCTATGAAAGAAGATAGAGGCTTGGACTAGGGTGACAGTGAAAATGGAGAGAATCAGATACATTTGGGATATACTGTGGAAATGAAACAAACATGACATGGTGATAAATTGAATGTGAGGGAGAAGAACAGAAGGGGATCAAAGAAGAGGATTTTGCCTTGAGCAACCAGGTGGGTGGAGGTGCCATTTACTGAGATGAGGAAGACTAGGGCCAGAAAAAGATGTGATTGGAAGTGTGAGGGTGACTTGGTCATCAAGAGTACTGCTTTACCTGGTTACGTTTTAGGTAACTGTTAGACAGACAAGTGAAGATATCAAAGAGAAAGTTGGATACAGGAGTTTGTAGCTCAGTGGGTAAGGGAAAGTCTACAGTTATACATTGGAAAGTCACAACGTGTTCTACATTCAAAAACATGGGATCAGATAAAGTGAATTAGGGAGAGGATGAGAGAAAAGAGAAGGCTGAGGATCAACCTTAATATTCAGAAGAAAATTCAGCAAGATACTGAACAAGAGTCATCAGTGAGGCAGGAAGAAAACAAGGAGAGTATATTCTGTGTGTCTCAAGAGAATCAAATCTTTGTCATGATTTGAGTATCCTAAATATAATAAGTTACTTACAGAGGAAGTGAAGCATCGGCCTATTTCAGATCATTTTCTAAACTCAGACTGTTTGCTGTATAGGACATTGAAACAAAACTTGACTAGGAGTAAAGAAGGTGAGACTAGATTACCTTAACATCTCTTTCATACAAATGAGTCTATACTGAAACTCATACTGTAAGAATCTCATAGATAAACATGGAAAAATAAACCATTTTTTGGTGAAGAATTTAGAACACGTGGCTAAGCTCCCGGTTTTAACTCACTTGAATGGAAAGGGTTCTACTATTCACATCTTACATTTTTTTTAAAGTGAGAATTACAAAACCAGAGATAAAGTGGTTTAACGTAGTACTATTATATATATGTATATATATCACTGTAGTATATATAGTACAAAAAAATTCATGAAACAATTTACGTATAAAACAGAATTGTAAAATAAATAGAAACCTCAGCTAAATTTTCAATGTAAGCCTGTTTGTTAAAAAAAGAAAAAACCTTTATTAGCTTCTTGCCCTTTTATAGTTAATGCTGCTAGTTATTCCCCTCCTCCTCCATAGGCTTCTAGTCTACCAATTTTCACATTTTAATGTACATCAGAATCAACTGGAAGCCTTTTTAAAAATACGTATTTCAAAGTTATATCTCCAGAAATTCTGATTGGGTGTACCCAGGAAATCCGTATTTTGACTAATATTCCAAGTGATTCTAGGGAAGACGATCCCTGAGCCACACTTGACAAAACACTGATCCTAATCCTATATTGCAGCATAGGTAACTCTCTCCTGGTGACAAAAGTGCCACTTGGCACTCTCCACATTTCATTAGAATAATTTCTTTTAGATGCATGTTTTGTATAATGGATTATAAGTCTGAAACTATAAGTCTGAAAGAAACTACAGTTAGAGATGAGGTACCTTAACATCTTATGTGGTTGGTATTTGTTTTGACATCCTGACCACACACTAAAATAATGAACCTTCAGATGTTTCTTTTTCTATAAGATATCATTATTCATGTGAATCTTGTATATTTTTCTTAATTCCCAAATAGCTTCTAGGTCCTATGATAGTAGAAATTAAAATGAGAGTAAAGTTTGATAGTGTAATAATATTGTGTGTTCTAGTGTCTGGCACTTTGTTCTTGCTAGACATTCAATACATTGAAGGAGTGCAATTATGTGCAAGCCTTTAATTCTGCTTTCATTCTGCCATTTTTTTTCTTACTGCCAGCTGTGAAATCTGCTTGCCTACTTATAGTCCTGAAGTATTTCTTTACTAACTCTCAAAATTATAGGAGACTCTTAAAAAATTAGAGAACTGAAAAACAAAAGTAAGGTAGATTTAATGTTGCATATAAATGTAACCAGAATGTTCTTGGAACAAACCTTGCCTAAGAGACATTCTAACATTGCAGTGGGAGGTAGAGGGATGCCTTGTCTAAAAGCTCAGGCTTTTTTTTTTTTTTTTTTTGTCGTCACTAATTAATGAGGAAAACTTTTACAAGAAATACTGCAGTGATAGTGTTCTGTTTAGGCCTATCAAATGAGCATCATTTCATGGGTTTAAATTCTGAAAGTTATAACTAGGTGAGCAAACACAAAGTTTGCTTTAATACTATCAAATTGTAACAGCAACGGATACATCTAGCATCCACCTGTTTCTAATTCCAGTTCCATGTTTCAGCTTATAAAATAATTGAAAGTAATGATAATGTGTATATATTATATATGTGATCTGTAATATATATGTTAAACCTGGTAGCTTGGTTAATTAAGGACTAGCAGAAAGAGTTGACCTAAGATACAATAGGAACCTTAACAGGCTTTAATTCTTTCCTTTTCCTTCTCTTTCCTTCATTTATTGTTCTAGGCACAACAAATATCATATTTGATTTGAAAACCTTATTATCTAGATAATAATGTTGAGAATCCCTATTTAAACATTTTTAATGGACTCCTGCCTTGAAATTATTTTTAGTCTTCTGATTTAATTATATAGAATAAATGTAATATAAAAAGTAATTGCACATGGCTTTGTGGGATATTTTGGAAAAAAATACATAAATCTGAGCCATACATTTCTTTCCAGTGCAGCATTTAAATTTCAGACTTCAACCACAGTTGTGATTGTTTTTAGTTTGTTAGCTGCCTGGAGTGTTATTTTAAGAAAGCAGAAGCACCATCATTTGCACACTCCTTGTAGATCACACATCTTAACCCTGACATTTTAGCTCCAGTTTTTCACAAGAAGTGAAGTCAAGATGAAGAACTATTTGCTTTTCTGGGGAGTCCTGGCTATTTTTGTTAAGGCTGTTCTTGTGACAGGTATGTAGTATTTTGAAAATGAATCCAGATAAAAGGAAAAATAGAACACAGATCTGTTCTTCAGATTTAAACATTTATGTTTGTGCTTTGATTGGCCAGCTAGCTGGCTACTTTTTTCTAACATACTTTAATCTTTGTGTGGACAGTGATATTTAGATAGATAAGACTCATTGTAATTCTTTTTATTCTTTTTTCTCTTATTTGTTTGCCTACCTAGAGAATAAGAGAATAGGTATTTCTGGATAAGTATAGATAGCTATGCTTATACTAATACACCTATATTGAACCTGGAAAATCAGTGATCCTCTCCTTGAATGTCTCAAATGTATATTCTGGAGAAATGAATTAATAATTATTGTAAATACAATATGGAGTGCATTGGGATTTAATTTCCTCAGAGAGATTGTTAATTCTAACAACTTTCCTGGAGCTAAGTGTACAGATTTATTATGACCCTTAACAATGTTTAATGTTGTACAGGTTTCCTACAACTTGATGACTATGCTTCAGTTATTTTGTTTATTAACTTTTTAAACTACTGTAGAAAATGGATTATTTTCTGAATATAGAAGTACAGTGTTTAACAATTTTCATTAGAAGGGCATATGAATTAGAAGTCATAATTAATAAGCTGGTTTATTCTAAGACTTACTGAGCTTATTTTTTTCTTGAGCTCATTCTTATTTTAAGACAGAGTATGATGTAATTAACAGTAGTTATTTTGCATATGTTTTATACTAATTTAGCATTAAGAATAGTGAATTTCTAATAGTATTTAAACCATAAAGATATTAATAGTAAACCATGTATAATATATGTATTTATACATATATAAATATACCTATAAACATATATGTGAAACATATATATGGCTATATATGTGTAAAAGAGCTATCATTTACTGAGTAATACTATTTTCTAGGCATTATGCTAACTGCTTTACATATACTATTCCATTCTCACAATAACCATTTGAGAGTATGTACCATTTTTATTTCTGATATATAGTTGAGCCCACTGAAATTTAGAAAGGTGAAGTAACTTACCTGAGATCACACAATAAGCATGCGGTAGGTGGAACCCAAGACATCTGACACTATAGTCCACACTCCTAACTACTTTCCTATTATGCCTTTATCAAAGAATAACTTTTCAGTAAACTATGTTCATTTCTAGTACTTGTTGTTAAGTCTATTTTCTAATTTGTTTGAACTAAGTTAAGTTAAACAAATATTTATTGAGCGCCTACTATGTCTCAAATGCTCTTGAAATACAGTAAGGCACAGTCTATAATAGCAGGTTTATTAGGAAAAAATACTGCCTGTTGATGAAACAGAATGTTTGAATCTTGTAAGTCTTGGTGAATTGAAAGTATTTGTACATTTCCTGGTAGGTATATTAGACTGCCTAATATTTTATATATTAATAGTAATGATGGTTTTTCCTAGGTTTCTGGCAAGAAAATATAATATATACCATAAATAAAATACAGATATTTTCTATTTAAGACTTGATACTCGACTCAATCTATATTTTTGGTCACACATTACATGCTCATTTGTGTTTTATTGAGAAAAACATTTGAGTCGAATAAAAGAGTAGGAAAGAGGACACCATTTAAGTCATCTTACTCTTTTGTTTTCTTTTTTTAATTAATAGACTTTATTTTTTAGAGCAGCTTCAGGTTCACAGCAGAACTGAGCAGCAAATACAGAGTTTGCACATAGCCCTCCCCACCCACACATATATACTCCCCTACCCTCAACATCCCTCATCAGTGTGGCATATTTGGTACAATAAATGAACCACATCTTACTCTTTTCAAAACATTAAGAAGAATTACATCATTATCTTAAATTGGCTTTGTAATGTTTTTTCTCCAGTACCATATGGACTTTTTATCAGAAGATTTATTAAAAACTTAGAAATAATAGCATAATAATGCATTATAAAGTACTTCAAACAACTTTAAGTACAATAACAATGGTCTCAAAATGTTTTTATAATAACTTATTATTAAAACTGAAATACTGCAATTAGATCCTCTGTGCTCTGGGATCATCTTTGGAATAATTAGACTTCCAGCTACAATTATATCTATCCCTATCGTTTAATGTTTATAACTTGAATTCATGTGCTAAATCTTTATTTTTTAATTGAAGACTGATGGAAGGAAATTTTAAAGATCATTTAGCTGAAATTAAATTAAAAATATTTAACATAATTATTAATGATTAGCATTATTAAATAAAGCTATTTATTGTTAACCCTTCAAATATCTGTTAAGTGATCTAAGTTCAGATAATAAGAAATTTTCCTTGTTAATTCTTTGCAACACTTGCCTGACTTCTTTGTCTAATGTTCAGATTAGACAATAAATGTTGACATTCAGAGTTAAGACTTTAATGGTCATCTGTGTATTCATTCATTCATTTATTATTTTTTCTGTATACATGCATATTATATTAAATAGAACTTGTATCTCACAATATATTCTAAATTGTTTTGGCAAATTTATAACACTTTACATCTATATATACTGTATTAAAATAATTCTTACAAGAAATATTGATAAATATAGCACTTATTTTATTGGATTAAATCATTATACCATGATAATTTGATTGTTATTATGAAAAAGAAGAATATAATTAAGTTTGGGAAAATTATAGAGGAGAATAAAGTCTTACAAAATAAGGTTATCTTGGGGAAGATGTGCATGTTCTTAGCTCTCATGCAATTAAGCAAAAAAAAAAGTATAAACGGGAGTTCAGGAAGGATGTGACACTTCAAACTCGGTTTATATAGACTAATGTTCTTTTTTGTTCACTCTTGAATGAATTGCTTTGGTCTGAGAAAAATCCAGTCTAGATTTTTGTTTTCTCTCTCATTTTGGCATTTGGCACTGATTTTTATGAAGCTACATCATTCAGAGTGTTGTGCCTCTATTAAAATCATTAGATTAAAACTAGAATTCTTTCAGCTCAGCTTCCCATAGACTGGTCCCAGGAAAAAAGAGAAAGTTCCTTTTGGAGTTCGTTTGCATTTCCTTCACTATGCTGTGAGATTCCACTTAGCTATTTTAGATTAGGAAAGAGAACAAATGCAGAAAGATGAAACTAATCAACTATAAAACTTAATTTTTCTGCCGGAAAAAAGCTAAATTAACTTGTTACAAAATATAAAAATAGACTTTCATTTCCCTTTCTTCTTAATGTGTTTTATCTTTCAAGCCCAAGATGAAGATGAAAGCACCGTTCTTGTTGACAACAAATGTAAGTGTGCCCGGATTACTTCCAGGATCATCCCTTCTCCTGAAGATCCTAGTCAAGACATTGTGGAGAGAAACATCAGAATTATGTATGTGGTATTTTGCATTTCATTTTTTCAAGTTGTGAGCAGAGGTACTTTCTGATATTAGAAATTGTTTGCATGTGATACCTACATCTTTACTCCTCTTTTTGATGTACAGCATCTTACATAAGGCTGAATCTGATTAATGGGCTTGAGCCAATTATGGAGAAGTTGGGAGCAGGAAGGAAGGTTTCCAGGCAACCTAAAACCAGCCAGCTAGATCGAATAATAACTGAAGGCTCAGATCAACATGCCCTTTTCATATGGAGTAATTTCAATTTGAATCAGAAATTTTAGTTGCCCTTGATCATTTCAAACTGAAACTTGAGATAACACTAAAAGCCTTGTTTTCTACCACATATGGACTACAGATTGAACTCAATTGTCTGCATAAAGGTAAGGTAGACTAATCAAATTGACTAAAGTGATTTACTCTTCACTTGCATTTTAGTAGGACTGTTTAATAAGGTGGCTATAATACATTGGGAGGGTCAAGACTGAAGAGGGGAGGGTATTGCTACAATCTAGGAGAGAAACAGTGGTGTCCTGAATCAGGTGGTTGGATTTCACAGATAGCAAGAACTAAAATCAATTGAACTATGAGATGGATTATATATAGGTCATGACAGAGAGGAAAGACTAAGGATGGTAACCAATTTTTGGCTTGACTATGTGGATAATATTGCTGAATACTGAGTTAGGAAACGTGAGTTTTTCTTTATATCTTTCAGTAGGGAGGGGTACATATGAAGAGAAGTGATGACATAGATGGAAAAAATGTAAAAGTTAATGAAATCACTTGAACTAGTTGGTATGTTACCTAATTTTTCATGGAACATCTCCAGATCAAAAGGTCTGGATTCTAGTTCCAGCTTTACTACTTAGTAGTTGTATGAACTTGGATAGGTACCAACCCCTCTGATTTATAATTACTGCATTTCTAAAATGTGGATAATAATATCTGTCTGTCCACTCATCCCACAACTATTGAGTATATTCCACATGCCACACATCTAGCAAGGCTTTGGGAATATGTAAATGTTCTTGCCTCAAGGAATTTATAAAGTCTAAGGAAGCAGCTACTCTGTAGATAAGCAACTATGACATGCATTTGTTAAAATAAAGGTATATTCACTTTAATGAGACTACGGAGGAAGGAGTTTATTGAGGGGTGGGGATGGGATCCAAGTAATCATCACGAGAAGGTAAAACTTGAGCTTATTTTTAAAGGAAATCAAGGATTTGCCAAGTAATCAAAGATGGTTGACAGAGGAATTGCTGTGAGGTTTATTTTGGATGAAAATGTTTAAAAAATAGCAATTACTGTGAAATCTGAGTAATGGTATTACTTAAGAGTGCCTGTAGAGTGCTAAATATCCTAAATGTCCCAATGAAGCAGTAGGAACTGTCCTAGCAGTGCATCTATTACCAAAAGTAGCAGTATCTGCTGGTTTCATTATTTTCCTTTGTTTTCTTTCTTTCCTTTTTTAGTGTTCCTCTGAACAACAGGGAGAATATCTCTGATCCCACCTCACCACTGAGAACCAAATTTGAGTACCATTTATCTGACCTGTAAGAGATTTTCCTTCATACTAAATAGATATTGAAGTCAATAACTTTTAATCAAACTTATTAGCAAGAATGTTTTTGAAAACATTGTGGTATAAACATTTACCAATATAATTTGAACTTTTGAATACATTAACTCCTATGTTAATTATTAGATATCATAAATTCATAAAACTTTATTGCAGATAAAAGTTAGCTATAAATTTATTCTAAAGAAGAAATTATTGCTGTTTGTATAGGAAGGACCAGTTTGTCTTTACAGTTCAATAACTGGATTTCAGACACATTAACATGCAGGTCTTTCTTTGGAAACTATAGAGTTCAACATAAAACAAACTAAAACTTCCTTCTTTGTTACTATAAATAACTCATTTAATCCTAGTATACAGTTGGGAATAAACCCAGCAGAGCAGAAGTTGCTGTATACACAAATAATTGTATTCTCATATTATCAATTATATTGTTTACTTTCAACTAAAGGTTGAAAAATTATGTAAATGATTCTGTATTACAGAGCAGCTGAAGTCTGAAAGGAGTAACCCTTTGTCAGAATTAACTGATTTTAGATGGAAATGTGTAGTCACTCAGATTGTGAGACAACGTTTGATGGGGATTGTCTACAGCATCTAACGCGTGTTATTTGTTTTTCAGCTGTAAAAAATGTGATCTTACGGAAGTGGAGCTGGGTAATCGAGTAGTTACTGCCACCCAGAGCAATCTCTGTGATGACGATATTGAGACCTGCTATACCTATGATAGAAACAAGTGCTACACAAACAAGGTCCCATTTACCTATGATGGTGAGACCAAAATGGTGGAAACAGCCTTGACGCCGGATTCCTGCTATCCTGACTAATCTGAGTCATTGCTGTCTGCACAACTTCTTATCTTGAAAGGCTCTCCATTTTGATCCAGGTAGTTAATATATTTACTACCAAAGAATTTGAAACTATGATTTTTTTTTTGGATAGTGTAAAACCAGCTCCTCCTACCCAATAATTGAAATAGTAACATTATTTTTATTAGGTAAATTTTTAGCATTAAAAAAAAGACAAGGAGAGAAAATAAAACTAAAAGAGTAAAAATCAGAAGACATACTAAATTTTGCCCTTTTTTTTTGGCTTTGCCCTGGAGAGCCTGAGCTTTTGCACATTCTGTATTCTTCTCTTTAAAAAAAAGTATCACTGTGTAGAGAAAATCCGTATGTAAATGTAGGTCAATTATTTGTCTTCATTAGAAAAATAATATTTGGAAAACATGTTTTGGAAGTGTTTATTAAATCATTTAAAATGGGCTCTCTAATACTTACGAAACCAATTAACTGAAAGTGATGGTATTTAATGTGTAACTGAAAAATATATTTTGACAACAGATTTGGGAGCAAGTGATACAGTTTTTTAATAAAAGTTTTTTGATAATCAGGATAGTGTAAGAAATTCCCATTGGAAATCATCTCTGTTGTAACTGAATCTAACAAATTATGTATTCCAAAATATGTATTCTCTAGCACAGTTTGAACAATTAAATAGATTCATAAGCATATACCTGTGTGAAATAATTTATTGGAAAAAGTTTGCTTGTGTTAATTTTGCTATATGTAAATTAAAATATTATGAGGAGCAGTTTGTATGATATAATTGTGCATTAATCACTGAATTTAAATAGGTACATATTTGAGGTAGATTTGTCATTTTATAACTAAACTTAAATATAAAGACAGTGTCCCTCCTGACAAACAGCGTTTATCATGGCACATAAAATTTTTTTATGGCAGAAACCCAAGGCCAATTGGCATATATATATCTAAGGGTACTGTGGAAAGTAAATGCTGACTCTGGATTTAAAATAATGGAAGGCTGATTAGTGAAATGCAGTTTCTTGAAGAGAAATTGTTCTGTTTTCTTTTTTTCAAATGGTAATAGTCATTTTTAATAACTTCCACTGTGTTCATACTGATTATTCAGTGTTTTTTTTTTAGGGATAAGGCTCCGACACTCTGGTGCTTCAGTAGGAATCATAGTTTTGACATGCTAAAGACAAATCATTCTTGACCAATCTTCAATCTGGTATGTGGTTTTAGCAAAAACCTTGAACTTTATTTAATCAGTAAACAGTGACTGAATATTTACCATAAGCAAGGAGCTCTGCTAAATTTTTGGTGATTAAGCTGTGTTAAATGCCCTCAAGATAGTCACCATCACCACTCATTTACTAGGCCTCTGCTCAGTTGGACCTCAGTTCAGTTCGGTAACAGTCTTCTCCATGAAGCTCACCCTGACTGTTAAAAAAAAAACTGCAAACCCCATTCCCTTTCTTGGTTTATTCCACTACCGTGTACTTGTCATTCTCTCGCAGACTATATAATTTACGTAAATATCATGTTTATGGTTTGTCTCCCCCAACAAATGCATAAGCTCCACAAGCTCAGCCATTTTTATTTTGCCCATTGGTGGATTCCCAGCACTAGGAGGGGTGTCTGGCACAAAGAGGTGCTCAGTAAATATTTGTTGAATTAAATGAGTATGAGTGCAGTTTAACTGAAGAAATGAGACATATGCATAATTACAATCACTTGGCAGAATTGCATGAAACAAAGAATAGTTTCCAAAGTGTTATGAGAATTTATAGGAGACTTTCTTCCCTAGTTTTATTGAGATATAACTGACATGCAGCATTGTATAAGTTTTAAGGTGTACAGCAAAATGACTTCCACATACTTACCTGTTGTGAAATGATTACCATAGTAAGTTTAGTTAACACTCATCACCTCATATAATTACAATTTGTTTTCTTCGTGATGAGAACTTTTAGGGGGAGACTATTTCTGAAGAGGCTGCTCTACTCTTCCTGTCTTTGCCTTAGTTTCTGTGCATACCCAATAGGAAAAATTTTTGGTACCACGTTGCAGATGCTTGTAGGAGAGAGCCATGTGCCAGCACGACTTCTTCATTAAATGCCAGCTGGAAGAGGACTGCAAACTTAAAAGTCCTGAGTATTCCTTCTTTCAGAAGCTCAGTTAAACTCTAGGATTATCATTTAATAATTTAACATTTACTATGTGCTAGGCACCCATCTAAGTGCTTTATTAAGCATTAACTCAGTATAAATCCAGAGTAGATAGTGACTCTTTAATGAGAATTACTGAATAGTGATTAAAACCTTCTTGTTAGTTTCATTCGTATGTTTAAGTGGACAGTATAGCAGGGTACAAAAGGGATCAATGCAGATAAGGCAGCTCTGAAAGGAGCCTCTCCTTTGTCTTTGTGTTTGTGTGAGGTCCATGGCTGCTCCCAGCCAACGATAATTGAATGTGGCAAGGATACTGACAGGTTTTGGGGCGACAATGTGGTATAGTGGGTAAATTCATGGCTTAGCTTGGAATACAGACTCTGTACTTAGGGACTAAATAATAAGTCACTAAGGGGAAGTTCATTCAATGTAAGGTTGAAAAATGGGAATACAAATAACTACCTGACAAAATAGGTATCTTATAAAACTAAGGATACATTCTATAATGTGTGTATATCACTTTGTACAGCTTTTGTAGCATTCAGTAACCTTCTGTAAATTACAATTGATATTGGGTGTTAATTGTCTTTTGGCTCTTCTCTGCCCAGGCAACAAATTAGAGAAAAATGTGAACATGAATTAAATCAGTGATTCTCAAACTTTAACCTGTATGAAACTCATCTGGAGGACTCACTGAAACAGATTGCTGAGCCCCACCCCAAAGATGCTGATTAAGTAGTTCTGTAATATGGCAGGAGAAACTGCATCACGTGGGAACAGGTTCATAATACAGAATTCACTGGTGCTGGTGATGCAGCTTGGGAATTGCTTTAGAACCACTATTTTGTAATTATAAACCTCTATCTCCACCTAGTGGTGATTTATGAAATACAATGCATATGCATTTTAACACACATTTTATTTATTCTTCGTAAGTACCCTATGAAATAAATACTATCTTCATTTTACAGATGATGAAACTAAGATGCAAACAGATAAAGTAATCTTATTAAGGTTTGACATATATCATATGGGGAACTGATAATTGGATTCAAACTGTCAGTCTCAAAGCCAGTGTTCTTCAGTATGTTATCTTGACTAGAATATATTTTCAGACCATTTCTCCCAGTAATTCTACTTCTGAGGAGGTAATCAGAAATATGGACAAAGAGGTATAAAGATATTTATCACAACATTATTTATTATAGTGAATATTCATAAGAAACAAAAATGAAACTTTAAGTATTTTTAATTGTATGAAAATTGCTTATATAATGTGAAGAGGGAAATGTAGGCTATTTCATAAAATAATTACTTTAAGACTCCCCCCATACATACATAAAAGAGAAAATAGACCAAAATATCCCACTATAGATGGTTAGATTATGTGTTATTTTTATTTGTTTCCTTTTACTTGTCATTATTTGCCAAATATTCTACAATGAGTGTATATTTTGGTAATTAGAAAAATATTCATTATTATTCATTTTTATTTTTAATCAATTATATTAAAAATTTGGAAAATCTAAATTCATATTCATTTACAAAATGTGTTTAAAGAAGAAGTGATATTTATTCAGCATCTACTCTGTGCTCAACACAAAGCTAGTTGCTGTGAGGGGTACAGAAGTTGAATAAGAACTGGGCCTCACTCTTTAGGAGTTTTCTTCCTTCTTCTCTAGGTACAGCTAACACAGGGAAAAATCAGCACATGTTATAAGACAATGAGTGATTAAATATAAAAAACGAAGTGCAGTGAGCCTTCAGGGTAGTTGGGAATCCTAGGGCTGGGGAATCAAAACCACCGCTTTAACAAGATTCATGGGCATATTAATGCTTGAGAAACACTGGTATAGCATGCATCATTGTCAAAACAGCCTGAATCCTAGGTAGGAGAGACAGCTTCCAGCGTGGTTTAATAGCTGAGGGACTGACAAGGTCCTCTCCAAACAACGTTTTCTACCATTACTGTTGTTTAAATAAGCTGAGAATCCACTCGCTCTTTAAAGGCATGGTGGATAGTTTGGGAGGGCTACGAATTAATCAGCACTTGAGAAGGAATTTTTTTTTTCAGGTTAACCATAACAAATATCTGCTTTATATAGTGCAGAAAGGAATGAGGCATGGTTACTTGGATAAACACAGAAGAAATTACTGTCCCAGTTTGCTGAACCACAGAAATGGAGGGTGCTGTGTCCTCAGAGAGATGAACTGGGGTGCTATGAGAGCAGAGGACCTTGACTGGGGAGGTAACAGGGCATGAGAGTAGCTTCATCTGTTTCACAATCATGTCTTTGTTGAATTACACCTTGGTTTCCTTCTCGCTCCTTTATTTGAAGTGTTCTGCTCTTCCACCATGAGATCCTATTTGTTACCAGCTGAATCCTGTTTATTGGCTATGAACGCAAAAGGAGAGAAAAAGATCCAGTGGCTGATGTTATTGGGCTGGGGATGAGATGCAGAGGCAAGGAGGAACAGGTGGACAAAGCCAATAGCAATAACCCATTGTGAAATGGTGATTACCTCTTTTCTACCAAGTGCAGTTGTCTTCTGAGTGTTACTTGGGCAGTTTGTCTGAGTCGCAGTGAAACATTTGAGGTTTTGTGAGGAAGGGCAAAGGGGCTTGTTGATTTCAAGTCCTACATTTCTGGTTCCCTTTTTGGTTTTTAGAAATAAAGTTTGGTTTCCCAAGGGCAAGATGACTCTTCTTTAGTGTCCTTCAGGTCATGACTGAAGGAGGGTGGGTTAAGTGAGGGCAGAGATACATCAAAACAAATGATAAAAGTAACTCACATGTCATGTCTTGTGAATTTTCTTTAAAGATGTATAAAGTTAAGACTCTGATGTGAGTGACTAAAGTAAAACACGTTCAGAGGAACCAAAAAGCCAGGGGAAGAATATCTATGATAATGGCTACTTGGCTGAGTTTTTCACAAGTGGTTGGACCCTATATTTCATCATCCTATTTTGCTTCTTGCTCAAAATGAAGAAATGGAAGACTTCCTCCAGCCAACTGGATCAAAGCCCAACTACCCCCTAGAGAAATCTAATGTAGGCTTTGAGACAGAAAAGCTTATCAGGCAAGTGTGTGTTAGCCTTGCTGGATTACCTCCTGTATTTATCATCCTCAGATATTATTTTCTTCTTAAATTTATCAACTAGTGTCATCACCAGGATATATCCACCCATTTTAGAATCAGCATATGATGATCACTAGACATAGGGCCTCACCATAGAAATAGAACTGAGACAAGAGGGAATCACTTTCAGGGCCTGCCATCCCCACTGCGTGCACCATAATCTTAGAGCTGACTTTAAAAGCGTAATCAATAACTTAGCAAGGGCACACAGAACAATTTCCTTACTGTAGGGAACTCAGCCCTGGTATCCATGTTTACAGAAGGATACCTGTGGTGGTGAGATAAAGAGTCATATTCTACGGGGATGTCCCCTTCCCCTGTTTTTCACTCTATATTCTCAAATTCAGTAGATGTTTTTGTCCCACTGTACCTTTACATTTTACATTACAGAGG